TATTTCTGAGATGAGGTATTATTACATTATTTAGATTATTCGGACTATTGTCCTCATCTTTGCCGCCATATTTATACAACATTTCGGCCTTTCAGTATCATATATTTCTGAGATGAGGTATTATCATTATTTACATTATTTCATCTTTCGCCATATTTATTACAACATTTCGGCCTTTCAGTATCTGTCTATATTTCTGAGATGAGGTATTGTACATTATTTACATTATTCGGACCTTGTCCTCATCTTTGCCGCCATATTTATTACATTATTTCGGTATCTGTCTATATTTCTGAGATGAGGTATTATATACATTATTTACATTATTCGGACTATTGTCCTCATCTTTGCCGCCATATTTATTACAATTGTTTCGGCCATATTTTTACAACATTTCGGCCTTTCAGTATCTGTCTATATTTCTGAGATGAGGTATTATGTACATTATTTACATTATTCGGACTATTGTCTTCATCTTTGTCGCCATATTTATTACAACGTTTCGGCCTTTCAGTATCTGTCTATATTTCTGAGATGAGGTATTATTATGTACTATTTTATTATGTACATTATTTACATTATTCAGTATCTGTCTATATTTCTGAGATGAGGTATTATGTACATTGTCCTATTGTCCTCATCTTTGTCGCCATATTTATTACAACATTTCGGCCTTTCAGTATCTGTCTATATTTGAGATGAGGTATTATGTACATCATTTACATTATTCGGACTATTATCCTCATCTTTCGCCATATTTATTACAACGTTTCGGCCTTTCAGTATCTGTCTATATTTCTGAGATAAGGTATTATGTACACTATTTACATTATTCGACTATTATCCTCATCTTTGTCGCCATATTTATTACAATTTTCGGCCTTTCAGTATCTGTCTATCTTTGTACATTATTTCATTATTGACTATTATCCTCATATTTTGAGATGACGTTTCGGCCCTTTCAGTATTATGTACATTATTTACATTATTCGGACTATTGTCCTCATCTTTGTCGCCATATTTATTACAACGTTTCGGCCTTTCAGTATCTGTCTATATTTCTGAGATGAAGTATTATGTACATTATTTACATTATTCGGACTATTGTCCTCATCTTTGTCGCCATATTTATTACAACATTTCAGCCTTTCAGTATCTGTCTATATTTCTGAGATTATTAATTATTTACATTATTCGGACTATTGTCCTCATCTTTGTCGCCATATTTATTACAACATTTCGGCCTTTCAGTATCTGTCTATATTTCTGAGATGAGGTATTATGTACATTATTTACATTATTCGACTATTATCCTCATCTTTGTCGACAACGTTTCGGCCTTTCAGTATCTGTCTATATTTCTGAGATGAAGTATTGTACATTATTTACATCTTTGTCATCTTGTCGCCATATTTATTACAACGTTTCGGCCCTTCAGTATCTGTCTATATTTTTGAGATGAGGTATTATGTACACTATTTACATTATTCGGACTAATGTCCTCATCTTTGTCACCATATTTATTACAAGGTTTCGTCTGTTGTACGCTCCGCCCTTCTTCAGGTGGTTAGAATTTCGAACTGAACCCTTTATTTCGCTCACTGGGGTAGTCTGTTCTAGTTCCACGTGCCATATTTGATGGATGTCAGTTATCAGTTATCTCCTGTTAATTTCCCCCTGAAAGTTCTCCACTGCCTTAACCGGGTATTGAACTCACACTAGATCACTAACACCTTTATCCACTGTGCCATGTGTCCTTGAGGACATCTCTGTATGAGTATTATTAACCTAATGTCTTCAGCAACCATTTTTACTAGTGCTCATATTGCAATTTTTGTTTTTATCAATACATGTCTTTACCAGAGCTCATATTGCAATTTTTGTTGTTATTATCGCTTTTCTCTGGCACTCCTTATTACTGGTTCCCATTGTGTATTCATGTCTAGGCTTGGTCGGCTCAGGTGATTTTTGTTGCCTAGTATATGTGCTGACTCCTTAAGTTTACGAATTTTCTAATGGTGTTCCTTGTTTATGATCTCAACCTGATCCCATCGTTTCTACCTTCTGTGGTATATTTTGCAATTTCCGTGTCTCCTTAAAACTACGTGACACTAAAAACCGGTTCCCATACTATCAGCGAAGTTAAGCAACGTCTAGCCTGGTCAATACCTAAATGGATGACTGCTAGGTTCTGTTAGCTTTGATATGGGGGTAGTGTAATCGATAACGAGTCGAGTTCCAATCCCTGTTGGGTTCATTATATACATTTACGCTTAAATACTTTAGGAAAGTTATAATTCCACCTCTTTTCCACCAGCTATGAGTTAATTGTGCTTAAAATTAATACAGACTAGGTCCCATAGAGGAAAAGTTAAGCAACGTAGAGCCTGGTGACTCCTCGGGAATATCAAGTGCTATAAGATTGGATGTGCGTTTAAATTTTAAAAGATCATAGTTGACTGTAAAACAAGAAGCCAGAAAAGAGTTCTGCAAGCGATAAGTGCGGGAAAAGAAACTATTTGCATAGAACTTGCGGTATATCCAGCCATTTTGACTGTAAAATGATGAGACCTTGCCGCCAATCTAGTACTGCGATTAAAATTCATACAGTGTACGTAACATAGGGGAAAAGTTAAGCAACGTAGAGCCTGGTGACTGCACGGGAATACCAGAAGCCAGAAGAGATTTCTGCAGGCGAGAAAAAAAAAAAGCAAAACAAAAAACTGTTTGTATAAAACTTGCGGCTAAATCCAGGCATTTTGACTGTAAAATGATGAGACCTTGCCGCCAATCTAAAACTGCGCTTAAAATTCATACAGTCTAGGTACCATAGAGGAAGGTTCTTCAGAACAATTACAATGAATGCGCGTATAAAAGTAATAATAATCGATATCTTCTGATGCCTTAATCCTGATCCCCGTCCTTCTCTATATCCCCTCTTTAATCTTACCCTCATTCTCTGTAACCCTTTGCGTGCTAGTGACACTCCCGCTTTGATTGGGGCGAAATGTTTTAAAAAATACGGTTTGCGGCAGAAATATATCCCACATTTTAAACTGTCATTCATAGGGTGCTACTGAATTTAAGCAAATGGCAAGCCTGTCTCCCGCTAGCTATTGTCTGACCATCTGTTTTTCAGATGACATCTTTTACCATCATGGCTTGGACCTGTGCATACTTTGCTTTTGAAATGTCTTTTTTTAAAGATTGGTGAATCTGTTATTACCACACAAAGGAGCAAGGAGGGTGCCCCCACCAGGATATACGGTATTTTGAACGCAGCTACCAAGTATTATATAACGAAAACAAGATGGCGGACTATATTTATAGGTATCATAAAGGAAGGTTCTTCAGAACAATTACAATGAAAGTGCACATAGAAGTTACCTCACGACGGCGGGAAACGGACTGAAACAGAGATACCTGGTTAGAACCAATAACATTGCAGATTCTTCTCTGGGTTTTATCAAAGATCTCGAAATGTATAATAGGAGAAAGGAGATCATATGTTACAGCAATATCCAATTTCTGGAAGAATAGTAGACTTATAAATATGTAAGATTGATTCAGGAAAGAAAAATTATCTAGCACAACACAGTGAATAAACTTTCCTAACAGCAGACCCCACAGTTAATTCAGTATAATCTTTACGCTATTTATGTATTAAATTGTTCAGTTACACGGATAATTTTATATTTACAACATTGTAAAAAACTAATAAAATTAGAACTAATGCAATGCAATATTTATCATTTACCATTTGGGTACCTCGATGGTGGTGTGATGGTTAACAAGCTCAATCAAGACCAATTACGAAAGAATATTGAGTTCGTCCTCACTGGGTGGCCCATGCTTTCGACCTTGTGCCACATCTAAGCTACGTTTGGAAAATCACTTTATCATTTACCAATTTATAAAGAACGATATTTCAATTGCTGGTGTACCCAGGGTCAGAGCGCCGTAGCACCTGTTAGGGTCCCAGTTATATAGTTAACCTCAAAACTGGCCTCAAAACATTATGAAAATATAAAAATGGATTTTAATTCCAGCAATAGATTTTTGGAAAAAAAATTATTACCAGCAATACATTTTTGAAAAAAAATTATTACCAGCAATATATTTATGGAAAAAATATATTACCAGCAATACATTTTTGAAAAAAAAATATTACCAGCAATACATTTTTGAAAAAAAAATATTACCAGCAGTACATTTTTGGAGAAAAAAAATATTACCAGCAATACATTTTTTTTTTAAAAATATTAACAGCAATTTTTTTTGGAAAAAATTATTACCAGCGATACAATTTTGAAGAAAAAAATATTACCAGCAATACATTTTTGAAAAAAATATATTACCAGGAATAAAAATCTTGTTGTCATTAAATAAAGAATTGGGGTTGATATGTCATAAAACAAACTAAACGAAACCAAATCAGTAAGCATTGCCGAAGATTGTAGTAGTCGAAATAATAGTGGTGTCAATGGGGGAAAAAAAACCCCAAAATCTGTCCTTTTCACACTCCGTTTTTTGGCGGGCACAACAGTCCATCTTTGCCAAAATAGTTTATACGTGGACTTTGGCTAAAATTCGAAATAGTATAAACAAGATATGAAAAGTTCACGCCTTTATTGAAAGAAGATCTCTAAAAGACACTTGAAATCTAAACAGTCGCCAAGTAAGAAATTTGACGATGATTCTGAGTAGCAAAGTGCGAAATAACGAGTCGATTTGAAGAGAATAAGAGACTAAGTTGTAACGAGGCACACCCGTACTAGTATCGTCCTTCCCCAAATGATCCATTCAGTGCACTCACTTGTGGGTCACTGCGAGCGGTTATTTACAATATATAAGCGAAATTAACCACACTTTAAAGAAACTGAAACTTTGAGATTGATGTCTCTGTCTCTGTCTGTCTGTCTGTCTGTCTGTCTGTCTCTCTCTCTCTCTCTCACACACACACACACATACACAGTTATAGCCAGCCACACAAGGTTTACGGCTGCATCACTTCGAAACACATGTTCTCATACGATCACCTAAGTTAAGCAATGTCGAGCCTGTCCAGTACCTAGTTGGATGACCACTTGTGAATAGCGGATACTGTCAGCTCGGATGTGCGGGTGGCGTATTGGATAATGGCAAGGAATTATTAATCTGAGAGCCGAGTTCTAATGCCCGTAGGATTCATTATATTCACTTACGCGCAAATATTCTTGAAAAAGATATGAATCTATATCGTCTCTCTCCAGCTATGGGTTGAATAGTAAGACTTGTATCACTAAAACCTTATTATCTCCAAATAAAATAATTAAATAAAATCGAATAAAAATTGCGCCCAAAATATTTAAGATTTTAGCATTAAATAACCCCTTAGAAGTTGATATGCCGGTAAACAAAAATAAATAAATAAATAAAAGAACAAGCCCCACGCATAATAGTACCGAGTAAGGTTTATCATTTATAGTGAAAAATGTGTTAAGAATAATTCAAATCAACCATAAAGGTTGATATGTCGCTAAACAAAACCATCCAAACAAACCAATCAAAATATTTAGATTTCGCCATTAAATAACCCATAGAGGTATTGATATGCCACTAAATAAAATCAACCAACTAAACTAATCAAAATATTTAGATTTCGGTTTAAATAACCCATAAAAGTGTTGATATGCCTCTAAATAAAATCAACCAACTAAGGCACTCAAAATATTTAGATTTCGGCATTAAATAACCCATAGAGGTGTTGATAGGCCGCTAAACAAAATCAACCAACCAAACCAATCAAAATATTTAGATTTCGGCATTGACAACCCATAGAGGTGTCGATATGCCGCTAAACAAAATCACCCCCACATGCACACATATTGATGCCAAGTAGGTTTTATTATTTATAGTGAAAACTGTGTTAAGAATAATTAAAATCGGCAAGACTTTTCATTTCCCGCTAATTTTATAAATAATAATGTTGACATGCACCTAGTAAATTAATCAAGGACTCAAGGAATTATTTCGCGTAGCATTTATCTAACTTCGTTCAGTAGAAATAAAAAGTCAGTTCGTTATGATCCATGTGATCCACAAAGGGGTTTCTTAAAACCGATATTCCTTAAATCGACATTTGTCTGTCTCCCATAATAACTCTTGGAGATATGAACGTGTAAATTTTCGATGTAAATGAATGTACGGCCCAAGGAAAAAAATATCTTCCCGTTCTGTCCGTATGAAAGGATCTCACTCACGTAAATGTTCAGTTGTGAGTTCGTCCTTATTGGGGGCTCCAAAATGGTGGCCTTGTGGCAAGACTAAGCTTAGTAAATGACGATTCATATTTATTTTTCATTGTATAGTTATTTCTTTTCCAGAGCTGAATTTAAACGAGTTCAAATTGACTGTTTTTCTCAGGCACCCAAGAGAAACACTGATTAAAATTGGATTCATTATTACTGAATTCTTATTTTAGAAACTCATTGTGTCGATTATTTTCCCGCCTTTTTCTCTTTTCTTAGTACCAATTACATCTTCTGTAGCAGCCATCTTTCTTTTCGTTTCTTTTTTTGTCTGTCATTAGCTTTCTTTGTCGATTATTTTCCTGCTTTTTCCTCCGTTCTTTTCCTTAATTCATTTTTCGTAATCAGCCATCTTACTTTCCATTTTACTTTTCATCTTTTTGCTTTTACTCATCTTTTTTTAGGGATTCTTCTTTGTGAGCAGCTTTCTTTCTTTCTTTCTTTCTTTCTTTCTTTCTTTCTTTCTTTCTTTCTTCCGTTATTTTTTCTTTGTTAATACCCATCTTCTTTCTTTCATGATCGTTTTTTCTCCAATCATTTTTCCTTCCTTTCTTTCTTTCTTTCTTTCTTTCTTTCTTTCTTTCTTTCTTTCTTTCTTTTGTTTCTCCCTCCAAACCCTCTTTCTTTCTTTCTTTCTTTCTTCCTTTCTTTCTTTCTTTTACGATAATTTTCCAGTCTTTTCTTTCTTTCTTTCTTTCTTTCTTTCTTTCTTTCTTTCTTTTACGATAATTTTCCAGTCTTTTCTTTCTTCCTTCCTTCCTTCCTTCCTTCCTTTCTTTCTTTCTTTCTTTCTTTCTTTCTTTCTTTCTTTCTTTCTTTGTTAATACCCATCTTCTTTCTTTCATGATCGTTTCTTCTCCAATCATTTTTCCTTTCTTTCTTTCTTTCTTTCTTTCTTTCTTTCTTTCTTTCTTTTGTTTCTCCCTCCATACCCTCTTTCTTTCTTTCTATCTTTCTTTCTTTCACGATCATTTTCCCGCCTTTTTTCTTTCTTTTCTTTCTTTCTTTCTTTCTTTTCTTTTCTTTTCTTTCTTTCCGTTATTTTTTCTTTGTTAATACCCATCTTCTTTCTTTCATGATCGTTTTTTCTCATTTTCCTCTTTTTTCCCGACAATTTCTTCTTTGTGAGTAGCAATCATTTTTTCTTTCTTTCTTTCTTTCTTTCTTTCTTTCTTTCTTTCTTTCACGATCATTTTTCCGCCTTTTCTTCTTTCTTTCTTTCTTTCTTTCTTTCTTTCTTTCTTTCTTTCTTGATAATTTTTCCGCTTTTTCTTCTTTCATCCTTTTTTCTTTCTTTCTTTTTTCTTTCTTTCTTTTTCTTTCCTTCCTTCCTTCCTTTTTCTTTCCTTTCTGCCTTACTTCCTTCCTTCATTCTTTCTTTCTTTCTTTCTTTCTTTCTTTCCGTTATTTTTTCTTTGTTAATACCCATCTTCTTTCTTTCATGATCGTTTTTTCTCCAATCATTTTTTCTTCATTTCTTTCTTTCTTTCTTTCTTTTTTTCTTTCTTTCTTTCTTTCTTTCTTTCTTTCTTTCTTTCTTTCTTTCTTTCTTTCTTTCTTTTGTTTCTCCCTCCATACCCTCTTTCTTTCTTTCACGATCATTTTCCCGCCTTTTCTTCTTTCTTTCTTTCTTTCTTTCTTTCTTTCTTTCTTTCTTTCTTTCCGTTATTTTTTATTTGTTAATACACATCTTCTTTCTTTCATGATCGTTTTTTCTCATTTTCCTCTTTTTTCCCGACAATTTCTTCTTTGTGAGTAGCAATCATTTTTTTCCTTTCTTTCTTTCTTTCTTTCTTTCTTTCTTTCTTTCTTTCACGATCATTTTTCCGCCTTTTCTTCTTTCTTTCTTTCTTTCTTTCTTTCTTTCTTTCTTTCTTGATAATTTTTCCGCTTTTTTTCTTCTTTCATCCTTTTTTTCTTTCTTTCTTTTTTTTTCTTTCTTTTTTTTCTTTCCTTCTTTCCTTCCTTCCTTCCTTCCTTCCTTCCTTTTTCTTTCCTTTCTGCCTTACTTCCTTCCTTCATTTTTTCTTTCTTTCTTTCTTTCTTTCTTTCTTTCTTTCTTTCTTTCTTTCTTTCTTTCCGTTATTTTTTCTTTGTTAATACCCATCTTCTTTCTTTCATGAACGTTTTTTCTCCAATCATTTTTTCTTCATTTCTTTCTTTCTTTCTTTCTTTCTTTTTTTCTCTCTTTCTTTCTTTCTTTTGTTTCTCCCTCTCATCTCCTTGATGTGTTTATGTAATCTTTTCAAGAACTGGTCTGACTCTCTTGAAAAAGATTAAACCTCTAGAAAAATATTAATTTGCCATTTTTTACTGATTTATTCTCTTTTTCGTCAGCTTCTTCATACATTTTAGAATATGGCCGACGTTCAACAGGACCCAGCATTAGAAGAAATATCATTTACCGTTTCTCTTCAATGAGAATCACTGACTTAATTCATGAAAAAAAAATCATTTTTCTTTTATCTTCCGCGGAGAATTCAAGGCTGAGAGTCAGAGTTCAATCCTTAGTAAAAGCCAACATTTAATTTATTTAAATATTTTCTTTTGTATATCTTTAATTCTTTTTTCAATCCTTATTTTTTATTTCTCTCTTTTCTTTATTTTTCTTTCTTTATTTCATTCATTCTTTCTTTCTTTTAAGCCAGTCAGTTTATATAGACTTTAGTGCGTTTCTCCATTTTTCGCTTCTTATTCATCTTTTGTTTTTTCTTTCCTTTTTTCTTTCTTTTTTCCTTCTTTCTTTTTTCTTTTTTTTCTTTCTTTCTTTCTGTCTTTCTTTCTTTGCTTCCGTCGTTCTGTCTTTGTTCTTTTTTATTTCTATAGTCTACCTTTTGTTTCTTTCTGTTTTTCTTTCTTTTACTTTTTTATTTTTGTTATTCTTTTTACCTCCTTTCTTTCCCGCTTCTCTCTTTTCGTTTCCTTTCTTTCTTTCTTTCCGTCGTTCCGTCTTTCATTGGTTATCTGCTTTTGTTTTACCTTTTTTTCTTTCTTTCTATAATCAATTTTCTTTCTTTCTTTTTTTCTTTTTGTCGTTCCGTCTTTCCTTTCTTTTTCTTTCCTTCTTTTTTCTTTTAACTTTTTTTCTATTGTCTCCCTGTTTTCTTTCTTCGTTTCTTTCTTTCTTTCTTCAGATTTCCTTTCCTTTTCTTTTCTTTTTGTTCTTTCTTTGTCCAGGTCTCTTTCTTTCTTTCTTTCTTTCTTTCTTTCTTTCTTTCTTTCTTTCTTTCTTATGCAGTTTCTATCTGTCTCATTCTTTTCTCCTTTCTTTCTAATTCTGTTTCTATTTCACTCTTCTTAATCTCTTTCTTTCTTTCTTTCTTTCTTTCTTTCTTTCTTTCTTTCTTATGCAGTTTCTATCTGTCTCATTCTTTTCCCCTTTCTTTCTAATTCTGTTTCTATTTCACTCTTCTTAATCTCTTTCTTTCTTTCTTTTCTTTTTCTTTCTTTCTTTCTTTCTTTCTTTCTTTCTTTCTTTCTTTCTTTCTTATTTTCTTTCTTTCTTTCTTATGCAGTTTCTATCTGTCTCATTCTTTTCCCCTTTCTTTCTAATTCTGTTTCTATTTCACTCTTCTTAATTTCTTTCTTTCTTTTTTCTTTTTTTTCTTTCTTTTCTTTTTTCTTTTCTTTCTTTCTTTCTTTTTCTTTCTTTTCTTTCTTTTTTCTTTCTTTCTTTCTTTCTTTTCTTTTCTTTCTTTTTTCTTTCTTTCTTTCTTTTTTTTTCTTTCTTTCTTTCTTTCTTTTTTCTTTCTTTCTTTCTTTCTTTCTTTCTTTTTTCTTTCTTTCTTTCTTTTTTATTTCTTTCTTTCTTTCTTTCTTTTTTCTTTCTTTCTTCAGATTTCCTTTCCTTTTCTTTTCTTTTTGTTCTTTCTTTGTCCGGATCTCTTTCTTTCTTTCTTTCTTTCTTTCTTTCTTTCTTTCTTTCTTTCTTTCTTTCTTTCCGTTATTTTTTCTTTGTTAATACCCATCTTCTTTCTTTCATGATCGTTTTTTCTCCAATCATTTTTCCTTCATTTCTTTCTTTCTTTCTTTCTTTCTTTTTTTCTTTCTTTCTTTTGTTTCTCCCTCCAAACCCTCTTTCTTTCTTTCTTTCTTTCTTTCTTTTACGATAATTTTCCAGTCTTTTCTTTCTTCCTTCCTTTCTTTCTTTCTTTCTTTCTTTCTTTCTTTCTTTCTTTGTTAATACCCATCTTCTTTCTTTCATGATCGTTTTTTCTCCAATCATTTTTCCTTTCTGTCTTTCTTTCTTTCTTTCGTTTCTCCCTCCATACCCTCTTTCTTTCTTTCTTTCTTTCTATCTTTCTTTCTTTCACGATCATTTTCCCGCCTTTTCTTCTTTCTGTCTTTCTTTCTTTCTTTCTTTCTTTCTTTCTTTCCATTATTTTTTCTTTGTTAATACCCATCTTCTTTCTTTCATGATCGTTTTTTCTCATTTTCCTCTTTTTTCCCGACAATTTCTTCTTTGTGAGTAGCAATCATTTTTTCTTTCTTTCTTTCTTTCTTTCTTTCTTTCTTTCTTTCTTTCTTTCTTTCACGATCATTTTTCCGCCTTTTCTTCTTTCTTTCTTTCTTTCTTTCTTTATAATTTTTCCGCTTTTTCTTCTTTCATCCTTTTTTCTTTCTTTCTTTTTTCTTTCTTTCTTTTTCTTTCCTTCCTTCCTTCCTTCCTTCCTTCCTTCCTTCCTTCCTTCCTTCCTTCCTTCCTTCCTTCCTTCCTTTTTCTTTCCTTTCTGCCTTACTTCCTTCCTTCATTTTTTCTTTCTTTCTTTCTTTCTTTCTTTCTTTCTTTGAATGAAATGACAAAATTCAAAACGTCTATACAGCCCCACCATCGAGAGTTTGATCTATAAATAGACCGCAAACGCAGATGTTCGCTGTGAGGTAATCGGGCTCGTAAAATTTGTTTAAAGGCATTATTTGTGACTCGAAAACACTTTTGGTAAAAAAAAAAAAAAGAAAAAAAAAAAAGAAAATGAGTAAAAAATGAAAACGTGGGTGTTTTTTTTAAGCCTTTTCTCATTAAAAGAGAAATTATACACACGCACACATATATATATATGGAGCAATTTTAAAAAAGAATACAACGTGAAAAACAATTTACGAAATAATAACGCATATTAAACGTGATTAGCGTGACTTATCGTTGCAGCAGTCATGCCCTCTATTGATTACGTCGCTGCTACTAACTAATGCATCATGGGTAAAATCTGCTATTTTTCCAAGACTTGTAAGCTATTTCAAACCAGACTTATTTGTTAAAGAGATGAGTAGCTACACGTCTTAGTTTCGATCCGTATGTTACAGGCGATGCGATCTTTCCTAGCCTTAGTTATTAGTCTCACATTTTTTTTATTATTCAGTCAATTAATCAGACGATTTCGTTTCGATCAATTCAATCTGCAACATTTCTAACATTGATTGAACTTCGAGATTAAAGCATGTTCGTTGTTCCATGAATCATTTCGAAGAATATCTTCATTTTTTTTTTAGTGCTTATATTAATTATTTGGTGAGGAGAAAAGGTGAACCATCGACTTAAATATCCTAATAATTGGAAGAATTTTTATTTATTTATGAATCACTCGGTATTTTAATTGTAAACAATTTTTTCATGAAATATAATTTTGCAAAAACAACAACAAAAAAACCTTTGAAGACATTTTCATAAGAAAAAAAAGGATCCCTAAGAAATGAAAGGTTTTCATTAATTAATGGTTGAAAGGGGTCCATCGGCAGTTTATACCCTTCAAATCTTTTGTCCTCGGGTTGAATTCAATGAAAAGTTTTGAATTATATTGTCGTTTAATTGAGAGATAAAAAAAGT